GGCTTTGTGCTCTGTGTACTTTTCCATTAATATTTTCGGGGATATTTTTTCATCAGACCTCCACTGGGGAAGTGCTCTCATTGTGCTACCGTATTTCAATTATTAAAGTTTTCCAAATTTTTTCTTTTATGGCCAAAGATGACAACTCCTGAGGTACCAGAGATTAAATTTTGTTCAAAAGGGCTAAAATGTCATTCTGGGGGACCTTACAATGTAAAGGCAATGGGGTGAAATAAGGAAAGGAGTTAATCACAGGAAACACAGAACATCAAGTTGACTGGCCCCGAGTCAAGGGCACTGAGTCATCCCCGAGAGGTGTCTCAGGGCTTTGGTGTCATCTTACAAAAGTCACTCAAAGAGATTGTGTTAAGACTGTCTGCATGGTAATTGCAAAAAGGGTTGACTCATGGAATTTGTGACTTTGACAGAGAGCTGCTTCCCTGGCCCTCATTATGAATGGACTTATTCATAGGCACCGTCCTGTCACCTCTCTGTAGCTTCCTGGGCAACAGCAAATGCCAGGAGCAGCACGCTTGCAGGTAGCAACCTTTTGAAGGAGACAGGGAAGACAGCACACAGAGCATTATCAAGACCCTGGAGCCTGATCTAATGGCCAAATGCAGAACATGATGCAAAGGCCTCAAAGCACCCTTTACCACGGGTTCAGCCCTCCCAACCCCCTAGTGTTTCCTATAGTGCTTGGCAAAAAGGCCCACATACACTATTTCTTCCCACTGTGTTCAAAACAAAGTCATTTTATAAAAGTGTTTTCTCCTATATATTCTTTACTAGGCCCTGTGAGAGGATACAAAGGAAAATATACTGCTTAGGACTCCTACAGGGCATCCTCTTCATCCTTAGCTACCATGTCCTTATTCTTTGTAGACTACAGGTTTCCTGAACAAGAGACAGATACTGTGTGTGCGTGTGTGTGTGTGTGTGTGTAAAACCAACAGTGACATCTCTGTGCAGGGGAACATGAATGGAGCTACTTTTGTGTAAACCAAAGGATAAACACACATGAAGCTTGTTTCTGGACATATAAGAAACTGAGCAGCAGTTACCTTGGGGGAGAGGAACTGGGAATGGGATTTCATGTTTTTCTGTGGTTTTTTTCCTAATTTGGTCATTGGCCGTTTTTCTGTAGGTAAAATTATGGGCCCTTTTATTGGCTTTATTCCTTTTTAATATTGAAAGACAGTATATAAATACTAATTTGCAATGAGACAAAAGACAGATATAAGTATTGGCAAAGATGTAGAAAAATTGGAACCCTCATATATTACTGGTGAGAATAGAAAATGGCAGAGCCACTTTGGAAAACAGTTATGAAGTTCCTCAAAATGTTAAACATAGACTTGCCTTATGGCCCAGATCTATTTTTAGGTATATACCCAGGAGAAATAAAAACATGTTTACACAAAAACTTATACATGAATGTTCATAGCAGCAGGATTCCCAACAACCTGTAGGGGGGGAACAACCCAACTGTCTTTCATCTTGTAAATGGATAAACAAAATGGAAAAGTAGATATTCAACCACAAAAAGGAATTGCTGAGTTTTGCTGCAACATGGATATAGCTTGAAAACACGCTAAGTAAAAGAAGCTAATCACAAAAAGCTGCATGTCAATTTCATTTATATGAAAGGTCCAGAACAGGCAGATTTGTAGAGATGAATTAGTGGTTGCCATGGGCTGGAGAAAGGAGGGACTAGTGAGTGATTTATAGTGGGTATAGGGTTTCTTTTGGTGTGGTGATGGTTGCAGAACTCTGTGAATATACTAAAGACCGTTGAATTGTATACTTTCAATGGGTAAAGTGTATGGAATGTGAGTTATATCTCAAAGTCATTTCAAAAATTATGAGAAACAAAGGCTAACTATAGCTGCAACTGGATTTGTGATTTTTTTTTTTTTTGAGACAGGGTCTCATCACTGTTACCTAGGCTAGAGTGCAGTGGCATGATCTCTGCTCACTCCAATCTCTGCCCCCCGTCCCCCCAGACTCAAGCCGTCCTCCGACCTGAGTCTCCTGAGTAGCTGGGACTGGATTTGTGATATTTCTTCATGGCATTTTTATTTTTATTGTGATCAAGCGTATTTCTTCCAGGGGATGAGTGAGTTGTAGGTGTATTAACAGGAAACCCCAAATCTGAGTGTTTCCTGATCATCAAAAGATGAAGTTCCAGCAAAAGTACAATCCTTTGTTATCACAAAGTTTTCATTTCTATGAGCCAAGGGTCTCATCCTGGAGACACAGGAGTTAGGATGCAAAGAAGGGGTTACTCACAGAGACGGGTAGCCTGCTGGCCCTAAGTGGCCTCCCTGGTTAGAAATTGCTACATTGGGGAACAAATACTTTCTGCTTAAAATCCAGCCATTTTCTGGCAACTTTCTAGGCTCCTTTAAATCGGGTTAAATTATGTCATGGTTTGGTATGATTCACTCAGCAAATGTTCTGAGCTCCTGCTCTGTGCCAGGCCCTTTGCCCTGAACAAGGACAGCAGCATTTTTAGGAGGAAAGTCTGACTTCATAACGTCTGAGTAGCACAGCCTTCCGTGAAGGTGACTGGCAACAAAACCAGCTTTCTCAACAATCCCACCTCGCCTGTCTCAGGACCACGTCAGGGGCATTCATCTCCCCTCTGGGAGGGAGCGGCGGCCAGTGGAAACATCTTTCTGCTTTAACATTTTTAAAAGCATATTTTAATTGACAAGTAGTTGTACTGATCATGTCCATTTTTTGTTTTCGACAGAGTCTCGCTCTGTCACCCAGGCTGGAGTACAGTAGCATGATCTTGGCTCACTGCAACCTCTGCCCCTCAAGTTCAAGTGATTCTCCTGCCTCAACCTCTCGAGTAGCTGGGATTACAGGCATGCACCACCATGACCAGCTAAAATTTTGTATTTTAGTAGAAATGGAGTTTCATCATGTTGACCAGGCTGGTCTCGAACCCCTGACCTCAAGTGATCCACCCGCCTCAGCCTCCCAAAGTGCTGGGATTACAGGCGTGAGCCACCGCACCCTGCCAATGTTTTGAGATGTATACGTTGTGGAATAGCAAAGTCGAGCTAGCTAACACATACATCACCTTTTTTTTTGTTGTTGTTGTTGTTGTTGTTGTGAGAACACAATCTACTCTTAGCAATTTTCACATTAACTACAGTCACCATGTTGTAAAGTTCTTGAACTTATTCTTCGTAGCTGAAATTTTGTATCCTTTCACAAACATTTCCCAACTTTTTCCCCTTGTTTTCTTTGAAAATAATCTCCTAGGTGTTTTTGATACATATAAGATAAATTTAATGTTCTGAGAGGACTGCTTATAGACTGATGAGGGGATATAATAGTTTGAATGCTTGTCCCTTCCAAAACTCCTGTTGAAATTTAATTGTCAGGCTGGACCGGGCACCGTGGCTAACACCTGTAATCCTAGAATTCTGGAAGGCTGAGGCAGATGGATCATCTGAGGTCAGGAGTTCCAGACCAGCCTGGCCAACATGGTGAAATCCCATCTGTACTAAATATACAAAAATTAGCTGGGTGTGGAGGTGCACACTTACAATCTCAGCTACTTGGGAGGCTGAGGTGGGAGAATTGCTTGAACCTGAGAGGCAAAGGTTGCAGTGAACTGAGATCTTGCCACTACACTCCAGCCTGTGCAATAGAGCAAGACTGTCTCAAAAAAAAAAAAAAAAAGGATAAAAAAAGAAAAAAAGAGCCATTGTAACAGTACTAAGAGGTAGGACCATTAAGAGGTCATTAGGCCATAAGAGCTTCACCCTCATGGGTGGGGTTGGTACCATTATAAAAGGGCAAGTTTGGCTGCTTCTTACTGTCTCCACAGCACGGCGGCCCTCACCAGATGCTGACACCTTGATTTAGGACTTCCCAGCTTCCATAACTTGGACCCTATAAATTCCTTCCATTATAAACGACCTAGTCTGAGGTATTCTAGTGGCACAAAACAAAGACCAGATAAATTAACTGATGAGTCACATAACAATTGGTAAACATGTCATAACTATAATCCAGCTCCTTATTCCAATATTTAGATTCAAAGACAAAATTTGGCAGGTACAACTTTTTTCTCCCTTGAGACAGAGTCTTGCTGTGTTGCCAGGCTGGAGTGCAGTGGTGCGATCTTGGCTCACTGCAACCTCTGCCTCCTGGGTTCAAGTGATTCCCCTGCCTCAGCCTCCTGAGTAGCTGGGACTACAGGTGCCCGCCACCAAGCCTGGCTAATTTTTTTGTATTTTAGTAGAGACAATGATTCACCATGTTAACCAGGATGGTCTTGAGCTCCTGACCTCGTGATCCACCCCGCTTCAGCCTCCCCAAGTGCTGGGATTACATTCTTAATCCCCTTCAGTTCTATTCCATGGGTCTTGATTTCCATCTGTCCCTTGGAAACTCTACTCCCATGATTTCTAGTTCAGTTTTCATGCTGTGAGGGGACAATATGCTTTTGTGTCTTACACCACAGCACATTTCCGCCCTCTAAGAGCTAAATGTCAGCCATGTGGCTAAATGTGAACCACCGCACCCGGCCAGGTACAACTTATTTTATCCAGTGTCATTGAGAGCCTATTATTCTACCACCTTTAAAACAAAAACAGACTAGTCTCATGGAAGTATCCTTCCCAACCACTGTGCTCAAAATGAGAAATTTCACTTGATTTGGCCGTTTCTTGTCACCTGATCGGGTACTTGGAGGTATAGGGGAAGGTGGTTTCCCTCTGGCAATATCTACCAGTGTCTTTCACATTAGCAAGGGTTAAAAAGCAGTACTTCTTGGAAAAAGTAGAAAGAGGCAATTAAGTGGCACAGCTATCCAATCTCTGCTCTCTGGCCTGCAGATGTTAGAGTAAGGCTTAATCAAATCTTTAATAAACAGTAGCTGACATTTAGCCCTTAGAAGGCAGAAATGTGCTGTGGTATAAGACACAAAAGCATATTGTCCATTCACCGCATGAAAACTGAACTAGAAATCATGGGAGTAGAGTTTCCAAGGGACAGCTGGAAATCAAGACCCATGGAAAACAACTGAAGGGGATTAAGAATGTTCTAAGAACCAAAAATTTAGAGCCAGATAGCTAAGAATAATTGATAGTTTTCTATTTCAGAGGTGAGAAAGTTGAGTTCAGAGAGTACATCTCTGCCAACAGTATCCGACTCTTCTGGTCTGAATATTCTGGGTGAAAATGGGAGCGGCAGGGAACATGACATTGTTTGAATAGGCTTCTTTCCAAATAACTGCTATAACATCAGCTTCAACTTCTGGTTTCCTACCATTATTCTTGTTGGCAAACCACGTAAACAAGTTCTATGTTGGTTGTTGGACTAGAGTACTGACTTCCTTTCCTAATATGAAAGGGAACTTTGTCCAAAATAAGGATCCAATAAAATGTTTCAATACATGGGGGCTAAAGCCAAGATGCTGTTTCCAGTCACCTGCCAGCATCCTTAGTTCTCTCAGGTTAGACTTCCAAGGTAAGCCAAGATAAATATTTCCCTGGAAAGTGATGAAAAGAATCTTAATGCTTCAAGAATTCAATTCCTAAGTTGTTGGTGACCAGCAGACCTTCAACTTCTCTCAATCTTGTTTATGTACTATAGAATTTAATTGGCCTTAAAACTATTATATGTAACACATTTTGAGATGTGTATACACTGGAGGATGGCTGAATCATACTAACATGAATTACCTCACTTATTTTATGAGAACCCAATTTGTAGTCACCACGGTATACAAAAGATCCCTTGAACTTATTCCTGAGAGTTTGTAGTCTTTGAGAAACATCTTTCCATCTCACGCTCTGCACACAAGTAACTACCATTCTACTCTCTGCTTCTATAAATTCAAGATTATGTGTTTAAGTGAGATAATATACTTTTTCTATGACTGGTTTATTTTAACCTTTTCCTCTAAGTTCATGTCACAAATGACAAGATTTCCTTTAAGACTGAATGTAGTTCATTGTATGCATATACCACTTTCTTCATCTATCCATTGATGGAAACTTTGATTTAGTATCTCAGCTATTGTCAGTAGTGCTATAATGACTATGGGAATGTAGATATCTCATCAGCCTACCAATTTCACTTCCTTTGGTTACATACACACTAGTGGGATTGCTGGCTCATGGGGGTAGTTCTATTTTTTTGAAGAATCTCCATAACATTTTCTGTGATGGCTATACTAATTTACATTCCCACCTACAGGGTTCAAGCGTTCCTTTTCTCTACATCCTCACCAACGCTTTCCTTTTTGATAATAGCCATTCTGATGGGCAGAAGGTGATCTCACTGGTTTTAATTTTCACTTCCCTAGTAAGTGAGAATGCTTAGCATCACTAATCTGTTGGTCATTTGTATATCCCTTGAGATGCCTACTCATGTCCTTTACTCATTTTTATTTGGGTTCATTTTTATTTGAGTTACATTTTAGACATTAACCCCTTATCAGATGTATGGCTTGCAGCTGTTTCTCATTCTACAGCCTGTCTCTTCATTGACTTGGTAAAGCTTTCTTGTGAGACAGACATGAACAGGAACACCCTGGCTAACACAGGGGAGGGAAACTGACCTAATAGGATCTGCTGTTATGGACTCAAGTGTCAAATAGAGAGATAAGAGACAGACATATGGCCCCCTTTCAGAGCTTCACAGACAAGCATGACAAGGAGCTGACACTAGACTAATGGAAGAATTTGTTTCCAAAAATAGGTGCCTACCCTCAAGGAATTCAGGGTAGCTAGAACCGTTACACAGCTAGTATGCAGGCAAGACACACCAGGGGAAGCTGAGGCTGACAACTGTGCAGTGGAAAGCTACCCCACCATGTTAGAATAGGAAGCTATGTTGCCATGTTGCTTATGTGTAGAACACTTATCTACAAGATCAGTTAGCAAGAACCACACAAGGAATAAAGTTACTTTTTTCTCTAGGAAAAAGATACCAGGATTAATTACATTATTCTGGATTGATCAGAACAATTCTTTAGTTGGAAGGGAAAGAACTAGCAGTTTAACTAGAAATGAGTTAACTAAAGTTAAACCCATTTGGAGGACAGTGAATAAGTTTGGGGTAGCAGTCTCATGAGTTACTTGATAGAGGCTATTTAAAATTAGATGCCTCCAAAATTGAGGTTTAATGGGGCCTCTGAGGGGAATAATCAAGTTTCTGGTTTAGCTACGAGACTATATTAAACTATAAGCTAATGGTTCAAACTGACTTCTCTAGTAACTCAACTTCAAGCTAGATTTTGGCCAGAGACTATTCAGAGACGTTTTAAGTCTTTCCTTGCAACACTTTCTCTGATCAGACTAACTTCTAAGATTGTTAGAAAACCAGTAACACTATCTGCAGAAATATGCTCTGTGGAATTACGCGTTCTGAAAAAGGTTTCATGGTAAAATAAGGGAAATAGATTTTGCTCCCTTTGAAGGCATACCATGGTAATATAAACAGTCCCAGAAACCCTGCTAGAGAATCTGGCAAGTCCTCGGTAGAGGCTTAAGTACCAGGGTTTTCTTTAACTGTAGTATCCATAGGTTAGTACAGGTGTTACTTTTTTTGAGACAGTCTTGCTCTGTTGTCCAGGCTGGAGTGCAGTGGCCTGATCTCAGCTCACTGCAAGCTCCGCCTCCCGGGTTTACGCTGTTTTCCTGCCTCAGCCTCCAGAGTAGTAGGGACTACAGGTGCCTGCCACCTCACCCAGCTAGTTTGTATTTAGTAGACAGGGTTTCACTGTGTTAGCAAGGATGGTCTTGATCTCCTGACCTCATGATCCGCCCATCTCGGACTCTCCAAGTGCTGGGATTACAGGCTTGAGCCACCGCATCTGGCCCACTACCCTCCTCTTACAGGGGCAAGTGACCTATATGCCAGGTTCTGTGTTAAAGCTTTTTCCTCTTTTGGAAACTCAGATTCCTGGCTTGTCAGGTCAGTTGCATTTAGAGAACTCTATACACTGGCTTTGTTTTAGAGGGATAGGCTAAAAACTTATGCCCATATCTATTTCCTCATAGAAAAAGATGAGACTTAGCAATTCCCTTCTCCCATTTACCAAACTTTGTTTCCTTGAATCATCTGACATTTGTCAGAGTTGCTGAGGAAGCCTTCCTGTTCATTGCCAATGCCTACTATGCTGCTTATATAGCCAATATACATTTTAATTGAGTAGACTTGAGTCATACAGCAACTAGCTAGAATAGCTCCCTGCCAGCAGCAGCTGTTGAGCACTTGAAGTTTGGTTAGAATTTTAGTTTAAAACAGGTACTATTCAGCTATTGGAAAACAGTTGGCTATAAGTTTTCCCAACAATCTAATATCTAGAAGTACATAGTATTTCCAATTAATGTTTAACATTCAAAATTTGTTGTGAGTATATTCAGAGATTGAATAGGGAAGCAAAACCTGGAATGTTATAATATTCAATATTAAGTTTCATCTGATCACCAAGTTCTATTTATACTTGAGTTGTTTAACCTAGTCACCAAACACTACCCCACTGCAGTCAGAGACTACTCTTCTCTAAATGTCTGACCTCACCACAGGTCAACAGACAGACCTTTGCATGTAACAGCCATTATCTCCCCAAGTCATTATCATTCCATAAGCCTAAGACAACCCTTTGTCAAGCTGTATGGGTGCCTACCACTGGCAACTAGTCTTTCTGAGGAACTGAGTTTTCCGTACCATAGGGAGTTAAGGGTACAAAGTTAGTGCTAAAACTTGAACTGGAGTCTATCTTTTGTTGCTCAAGTGGCCCTGGGCAAGCTATTTGACTTGTATCTGTCCCAGATTCTAGACACGGGGGATGAATGAATACTATGATATTTTCATGAGGCTCAAGATGTTAACATCAAGCTTCTAGGATAGTTTGTTGCATGAAAACCATGTATCCCTGTAAGGTCAGGGTTTACATCCAGATTAGCAATTTGAAGTAGGGTTGGCTTGATTACAAAGCAGCTGTTCAGGAGTATAACACCTTTAGCTTGCTGAAAGGTCAATTTAGAAGTTATTCCCTGAAAAATAAGTAGGCGAAGTTGATAGAACCAGGATTAGTTTCAGAACTTCAGTGAGAATAGGGAGTACCGCAGAGTATGGCTGACCAGCAGCATCAGTTACAAGAAAGTTCCTTAAACAGGACATTTGCCTTGAGAAGTCAGTGATGAGATCCCTACCACCCCCCCTTTTTTTTTAGTCTTAGTTCTTAAGACTAGGAAACTAACTTGTCAGTTTGGCTCAAAACTAAGTCTCTGATGATCAAGGCACCTCCAGTTGGCCAATCGATAATCAGATACCTTTAGTCACTGTTCTAGACATTGGTGCTCAGACCAGGGAAGATCAGCATCATCTAGGAAATGGTTAGAAATGTGAGTTTAAGCCTTTGTCCAGACTTACTGAATCCAACGCTGAGAATGGGACCAGTCATCTGTTTCTACCAGCCCTCCCATGATCCTGAGGCACACTCAAGTTTGAGAACCAGCTATCTAGATTCATAGTTAGTTTTACCCTAGTTTCATTGATCTTATGGAAGAATTTTATTCTGTGTTCTGACCTAAGACCTCTGCTAAGTCTGAAATTTTTGTATCAGTTTTTATTCTATTCTCAGTTGAGTTATACTGCCAAGCTTAAGAGATAAAATGACATGAAGAGATGAACTAGACTGAAAGTAACCTTTTACCTTTCAAATGAGAAGCTCAGCACAGGCTGGGAGTACAGTCTGGTTTTATTGACATGTTTGGTCTGGACAATTCAGCTGTCTCTTGATAGCCAAGTAGGATACTAACAAGCCTCCAAGGATTAAGGTCCCAGAAAGGCCTGCCACCCACAGAACTTTTGAGTCTACAGGAGCACCTGGAGGATGGAAAGGTAGATTAATGTATGCTAAAACCAAATGATTCAGTGTCCTGACAAAGACTAGCAGTCTTCTGCTATAGGAAGGTCAATTTCTTTTGACTAGAACACAAGGAGTAGAAAGGAAGAATTCGGTTTGACTGGTAGTTTGGTTCACTAGTTAGATCTCCTCCCTCTTGGATACTTACGAAGCTTTTCTGGAGGGTCCTTAGTGGCTTGGAGTAGAATCATGGGGCCTTTGCTAGAAACACTAGCAGTAGTGTTCTGAAAAATGGTGCCTGAATTTCTTCCTGTTAGAGAAATGAGACCTAGTAATTCATTAATTTTTGCACCCATAGAGCAGGGATAGAAAATGTTTTGGTACAAGGCCAAGTCTCTATAAAGCTTGGTTCTATGCCTTAAAAAAAACCTCATTAAGTGTATTAATACATACTTGAACAATTCAGATTTTGTATCTGATGCCATTACCTTAGTTTCACCAGGACTTTGCTTAGAAACTATCCCTGAACTTCCATGCTTTTCTAAACAGTCCTTTGACAGTAACATGTTTATAATTCAGAGATCTTTCCCTGTGATTCAAAGGTAACTAGAACAGAACTTGGAGGCTGAGGTGCAGAGAAATTTAATGAGTTTAGTTCTGGTTTTCAAATGAAAAAACAATTTGATTCACTTGAAATATAAAAACAGTTTTATGTTTTCTGTATTCCATGTCGTATTAAGAAAGATGGCAAGTGGAAGAATGGGAAACAAAGACATGCAGGTGGACTGTGAGGAGGAAAAATATTTCTGGAGTTTGAGAGCAGCCCAAGCAACATAGCAAGATCCATCTCTATTTAAAAAAAAAAAAAAAAAAAGGCCGGGTGTGGTGTCTCACGACTGTAATCCCAACACTGGGAGGCCGAGATGGGTGGATCGCCTGAAGTCAGGAGTTCAAGACCAGCCTGACCAACATGGTGAAACCCTGTCTCTACTAAAAATACAAAATTAGCTGGACTTTGTGGCACATGCCTATAATCCCAGCTACTCAGGAGGCTGAGACAGGAAAATCATTTGAACCCGGGAGGCGGAGGTTGCCAGCAAGCCAAGATCTCACCATTGTACTCAAGCCTGGGCAAAAAAGAAAAACTCCCTCTCAAAAAAGATAAGCTGGGTATATAAGTCCTAGTTACTTGGGAGGCCGAACTAGGCGGATGACTTGAGCTCAGGAGGTTGAGGCTACCATGAACTATACTCATGACATTGCATTCCAGCCTGCATGACAGAGCAAGAACTGGTCTCAAAAAAGAAACAGTGTAGAACTGTTTTAATTCTACTTCTTTTGCCAGTTGTAGGACCTTAATCTAAGGTGGTTCATTCTTTAGAAGTAGGGATAATATGCATTTTTGGAGATGTTAAAGTATTTAATGTTGTACTTGGCATAATAAGCACCATTTAGTTACTATGAGTTTTTCTAGAAGGGACTTAAAGCTTCAGAGGTCATGAATGCCAACTCAGAGGCTAGACAAGTACAGGTTGAATCAGGTAGACATACAGACACATTGACTTAGAAGCATTGGCCCCAACCAACTAGAGACCACATTCTAGGTCCACTCATTCTACTTATAGATCTTTAGGCTGCATTGCCAGACCTGTCAAGCAGGTATAGACATGTTTACTATCCAGGTGTATCTTGTTAAAATGAGACATAAGATGGCCATAAACTGCCTTGGTTTGTGCATGAATTCAAGTTCATATGGAAAAAGCTAAGGTTGAGGGTTACCCGAACATTTATAGCTTATCTTAGACATGGGATTCTGGGAAGCTAGTCACCTTTGTTCTGTGGCACTGCAAGTAATTAGAGAAGCCTTAGTAAGATGAATCTTCAGTTTGAGTTGTTTAGCTAGAGACTAGGAAAGGTTAGACATGGGACTCAAGATTCCTTCGAGTCTGTCCTCTAACATACAATCAGCTTAGATACTCACGACCGAGATCAGGACAGGTTACCGCACAGGATGGTGTCTCAGCAGGCTGGCAGACTGACACGCTGCAGTGCAGATGCACCTGGGAGCCAACAGAATTCAGATCATTTGTAGTATCACCATGCTACGTGTCTCTAAACCTGCTTTGTCTCCCCAGGAAGAGGTTCAGGAAGTTATCGGAAAATTGATATGGTCCAAGTTGATATCACAACAGCACTAAGGAACTGGAGTCCAATTGACAGATGCCACTCATGTGATTGGTAACAAGGGTTGCTCCGAGTACCAACAGCCAGCATTAAAGGGCTTCCTTGGCTGCAGAGTAATAGGACACGGAAACAGTTGTAAGTTGGGGAGGTTCAGAGCCCTGGTGAGGGTCATGGAAGGGAACATCCTACCGGTCCCCTGAGGGCCTGTTTCTCCGCTGTAGGGTCCACAAAGCTGAAGGTGAAGATGCTGAAGCGCTGGTAGTGAGAGGGAAATGGAAGATCCAAGGCTTTCTGGACAGGGATCAGCTGGGTCTGATAGTTGTCTCCAATGTAGGGGCAGCTAGACCAAGAGACCCAGCAGTCAGGATGGGCTTGAGAGTCTCAGCACCGGTGCATGAAAGAACCACTTACCCCTTTACCAGGATGGGCCACTGTGGCTGACTCAGGGGGTCTGTGCTGGGTGTTGCCCAACACTGATGTAGGAGCAGCCCCAGGGAGGGGTCTGTTCTGTGAAGGATGGAGACCTCCACGTAGATGGGATCCCGAAGCAACTTCACCACGGGGTAGTCACCAACACCATAGTAGGAGCCATAGTTTTTATCTGCAAGAGGCAGAAATGAAGATTTAAAGTAGTAACCTCTCAGTGACTTGAGGGACTCTCATCCCCTTAAATAGCCCCAAGCTGCTTAAGTGTCTTGTTACTAAGTTAGGGTCTTCATGCCCCAGAAGACTGGATTTAGACTATATGCCAGATACTCCAGCCAAGGGGGTCATACCTTTGGCAATCTGAAGTTCCAGAGTGAGGGGTCCAGGCTGGGTCTCAGGAAAGGGTGGTGGGAGAGTAAAAACCTGGACCTTGATTGGGAGAGAGTTGCTACTTACTGAGTAGCTGCAGCTGACATGGAGCCTGCAGAGAAACAAGATTTTAGCTAGTTGGTTGTGGGAGAGGCAGGTGTCAGTTATACACATCCTTTCTTTTTAACTCAAGGAAAACATTAAGTGCTAGACAAGTTTATAAGTATGATGGATGTGGTTCCCACCCTGCTGGGAGCTGTATTTTAGCTGGAGAGACCAATATGCAAGTAGGACCAATGTTTGAATTGGAGATAAGCACACAGAAATAAAGATTCATCATGACAAACAGATACCTACTGTAGAGCAGATCAGGGAAGACCTTAGAGGTACCTTGATATGAAGGTGAAAGAAAATAAACTTGAGGTAGATGGAGAGCCTCAGCCAATATAGAGCAAAGTCTGGAGGCAAGGAAGTGCTTGAGGCCCTTTGAGAGTTCCATAGAAGAACCAGGCTGCAATCGGGGAACAGGGAGTGAGGGACTGAGAATGTTCAGAGTGAACAGGCTGGAGATGAAGTAGGAGCTGTTTTATGCAGGGTCCTGATGTTCATCTTAAAGCTTTGTTTTTTCCATGGCTTTAAGGTGTGTGATATGATAGACCTAAGGTTTTAGAGGAATTCTTTTGGCTACAGCATGGACAATGGAGAAGGCCAAGATGTAAAATGGAGAAATGTAGGCTAAAATGAAGAATGGAGAAGGCCAAAATGAGAAAAAAATCGTTACGTGAAATAGCAGAACTCTAGGTGAGCTTGAGACTTAGGTCGGGTTGGAGACAGCAACACAGATGGACTTAAGTAATGGGCAGTGAGATTGGCGAACCAAGGTAGCAGACAGGTTCTCCCAGTACTGAGGAGTGCTCATTTGTGGATTCAGGGCTTACCCGAGAATGCCCACTTTATGGAAGAGGGGAAGTCATTCTAGTCAAGCAGGGCCAGGTTACGCAAGCCCTTACCTGAAGATGCTGTCACGAGTGACAGAGCCGCGGCTCCCATTTTTCACATCCCTAGTTGCCACCAGTTCATTTTCGTATACTGCTCGGTCTCCAGTGATCTACAGGAACAGATGGAGAAATCTTGATCATTTCTGTTAGCGTTACGCTGCTTGACTCGCATCTGGTCTAAGTCCTCAGCAATGCTACCCTGTTGTATGTTACATTTCCTATTCCTTCAGCAGAGGCGAGAACACATAGCACTGACATCCTGGCAAGTTATCACTTTGCCTTATTTCAGGACAAAGGAATTGGAAGGGGAATTTGAGTACCTAGAAGAGGCAGCTGAAGCACTACCAATTCCAGTCAGCATCCCTGCTGGTTTCTTCTCTATGGCTTGGTAAATGACAGCCTCTTAGCTAGATCACAGCTGTGATGCTCTTAGCTGAACACCCAGAAGAGATTAACTTTTTCAGTGATGAGGCGTTCTCCTGCCCTAGAGACTCTCCCAAACTAAGCAGTAGTCACAAGTATCCTTCATGGCCAGTGTATTTCAGCCCTCCCCCACTAGTCACTACGACGTTCCCACCCGACTTCCAGAGCCAGAAACAAAGCCCAACTGCTCACCCGTCTTGTGGTGCCACAGGAAGTAAATGGAAACTGGAACAGAACAAAAGCTTGTGTTGCCATCACAGGGTTACACGCACTGTCATTCCTAAGGGCCAAGCGCACAGAATCCAAGACCAGTGGTGGTGAGGCCACGTTCCGAGACACAGCGATGGAGAAATGGCCCTCTCGGGTACAACGCAAGGTCACTGAAACAGAGCAGCTGTGCTGAAGGCAGGTCATCTCTCCCATTAAGGGGAGAACCAGATGAAAGTCTAATCACTTACTTTTAATCCCACTGAGAAGCTGGGTGTTCCCAGCTGATGACCTCAGTGCAAGATCAGCCACCCAGTTTAACCCAGGCTCTAAATGAGCTCCTGGGGTTGAGTCTTACCTCCCCAACTTATTGTGCGACCTCAGGCAAGGTATTGCGCCTCCTTCAGTTTCATTTAAGAGGGGGATAGTAGCTCCTACCTCATTTTGCTTGTCAGTTAAGATTAAGATCTTAGAATAGAGTGTGCAATGTATTAGGTTGGTGCAGAAGTAATCCCAGCTTTTGCCATTGTGGCAAAGGCTGTGATTATTTCTGCACGAACCTATAATACTCTATGAGGTTGAATTTATGTTAGAAAACCTCAGAGCAGGATTTGAAACATGCAGAAAGCAACAGCCTTGAAGTGAGGCTCCCTAAACAATCCCAGAGTATCAGCCAAAGTAGCTATTCCTTGGAGAAAAGTTAAGTTTCTGTCAATTAGCATCTGGCACTAGCAATTATCTGGCACTAGCAATTATCTGGCACATAGCCTTCAAGTCTAACTGTTATTGACTTTATAACTGGATTCTGGGAGAATGGACAGTGGAAACTGTAGAAAGGTCTGTTACTTTGGGATCCAGTGTTCTTGGATGCGTGGCTACATGGCAGCCTGCTATCACTTACGTTTGCTTTCTGAGCAAACCCCTCTCCGGATTTCACCGTAATTGGCACACTTCCTCAGCTGGTTTCAGAGGTGTGCTCAATTACTCACCGGTGTTTCCGTAGTAGCAGGAATTCACCTCCTCAGAGCTGTAACAGCAGCCTAGCCCCTCACAGTCTCCTCGAGAGATGGGTGAAGGTGCACATGGCAGCCTGTCCCGCGCTGGGATGGAGTCACACCAGTCAGTATCTGGAGCATCTCGGGCTAGGTTTTGAAAAAGAGTAAGTCAGGTTAGGTAATGGAAAAGTTAGTCTTGAATACCATTTTGATACAAGTCATTGACTTTGGATTCCTGTAGATGTGTAGATGATTGAAATAGGTGTATCTATTCCATATTGTAGATACAGTCTTGAGTGGTTACATGTTGTAGATTAAGCCTTGGGAGGTTGTCAACATTAAGTCACCTTGTAAGAGTGCCCTGACATTAGTTTTTTTAAAATTAAAAAATGCCAACAAGATTGGTAGAAGCAGTGGGGGCTTCTTACTCCTTCAAGTAACAATCCTTCTGTTCTGTAGAGGCGTTTCTCAAGTCTTAGTTTGGATATGAGTTATCTGAAGATTGTTTTTTGAGTTCAGGTCTGGTTCAGAACTGGGGTAGGACCTGTGAGTCCTCATTTTATTAGTGCTGCCGATCCTGGCTATGTATTGGGAAGGAAGGCAGGTGAGAAGAGGGAATTGAAAGTTTGAGTCTGTTCTGACTTTGAGGATGGGCTCTCAGTCAGGCGAGACTTTCTGAAGTTGAGTAGGCATCATACTTCCTACTGTTTCCTTAGGGAAATGATCAGATAGCCCTCCAGCTGGTGGGATGGGAGACCTGGGTCCTAGTCTCAGTGCACGTCTAGCTCTGTGGAGGTGTTGTTCCAAGTTCCCTTACTAGCTTCAGTTTTCTTTCCTATCATTCTCCCCATGGGTGAAAAACTCCTGGTTCTGGGAGTTCTTTGAATCCCAGCTCAGTCACTCACCAGTGATAGGCCCTTGGGCAAACTTCCTGGCAAGAGATAGGTTGGGTGGTTGTTTTTTTTTTTTGGAAACGGAGTTTCACTCTTGTTGCCCAGGCTGTAGTGCAATGGCATGATCTCAGCTCACCGCAACCTCTGCCTCCCAGATTCAAGCAATTCTCCTGCCTCAGCCTCCCAAGTAGCTGGGATTGCAGGCATTCACCACCACACCTGGCTGATTTTTGTATTTTTAGCAGAGACAGGATTTCTCCATGTTGGTCAGGCTAGACTCGAACTCCTGACCTCAGGTGATCCACCTGCCTCAGCCTCATAAAGTGCTGTGATTACAGGCATGAGCCACTGCACCTGGCCAGCAGTAGTGTTTGCAGCACTAGGTTAGGATTAGGGAAGGTAACACCTGAAGTGCTTACACCCACAGTGCCTCGGCATTGAGGAATCTCAATTGGTAGTTATTCTAAGGATTGCCCATGGAGGTGAGAGTTGGGACATGATCCTTCGTTAGTGTCAGGTGTCACTGCACAGAACCAGTCAGAGAGGACCAAGAGCACTTTCACCCCTCCCAGATCCTGAGAGCTTCCAGCCTTTACCTAGAAGATCCATAGGACACTTGAGCAGCTTCCTCTCTGGAACCATCTTGTGTTCAGCCACACCCACTCCTTCAACTCCAACTGGCATGATGTAGTGGGAGTCCTGGAGAGACAGGCCTTTGGGAGTCAGCCCGGATGGTAGCATGAGGGGCTTCACTCAGTGTCCCTGGCCACTGGGTCATACTCACCCACTCAGTGACATAGCAGCTGCTATAGGTTGCCTCCAACACCACGGAGCTGCCCGGACCCTTTCTTATCCAGGTGCCACAGTCAGAGTCATTCTGTAGCTTGTGCAGCAGCCCTTGGTTGTCTGGAGGGGTGGGGAAGAGGTAAAAAGACAGCAGTCAGTCTCCAGTGCCAGAAAGGACAGTCAGCCTTGCCATTAAACCCCAAGGAACAACTGTCAATTAGAGGAAAAAGAGGGAAATCAGATTCAGATCAGACGTAGTTATAACTTAGACAATTTCTTTTGCAGAAAGATGCGACAGGCTCAGAGGGGGAAGGTATCAGGACAGGAAGGTAGGGGAGATGTCTTAGGTAGTAGAGGAGACATCATTGCTTGGCTAAGCAAGACAAGTCATCAAACTTACCCCAAGTTATTAGTACAGGAGGAGAAGTTGCCTCCTGACTGAGGTTTACAGCAAACTGGAAGCTCCACAGCCCACAATGGAGCACACTGGAATAACCTGGTGCCTCAGGCTTATGCTGACCACTCAAAACAAGAGATAATGAAACACACAGCAAGACACACTGCAGCAGCCGCATAATGCTACCAGGAGTTCCTACCGGCCGCAGGCTCTCCACCTTCTCTCCCAAGAGCCAGGGGTCTGCCTGCCCAGATTCCTTTATGTACAGAAGGCAGGCTTGGTTTCAGCTGCACATCTTTGTGACACTCAGGTGGGATGCTTTTAGAAAAGGTAATTCTTCTAGCCTCATTTGCTTTGGGGCACAGTCTGCAGCTGCCTCACATTAAATACCACCATCCAGGCAGACTTCAGAGCCCAAGAAAAAGGTAGTAACTTTTAGCTAACAGAAAAGAAAGCAAGTAGCTTCCTCAGGGTTGCTCAGTGTAGCATTTGTTCCACTAGTTTGTTGAGCTTATTGACTTCAGAAGACCTCCCTCTAGAATTTTGCATATTTGGGTGTGAAACTGCCGTCTATGAGCTATGGGGTCTGGGTACACTATGAACTCTCTGAATCTTGGTTTTCTCATCTGTAAAATGGGACTGCTATCTCCTGGCAGTGACGTGCTTTAGGATTAAGCGAGAGATTCTATGGCAAGTGCCTGGCACAGGGCTTGGCCAAGCAGTGAGTGCTCAGTCAACATTGTTGGGTGAGAGTTGGGGCCCTTGAGAAGCCTTGTCACCTTCTCCACCCATTCTAGAAAAGTTTCTGTACAATTAGAGCCTGTCTTGAAATTCTAGAAAAATCTAAGCTTGTTTCTTGAGAAAGATTGATTTTGAACCCTTTCTTGGTCCTTAGAGGGAATCCTACCACAGCAATTTTTCAACAAATTCCAAAGCGTTTCATTGCCATAACTGTCCTACGGTGCTTCCCCACAGAATCTGGGGGAAATGTGGATTAGGTCATGAATTCCTCAAACTGGTTCTGCCTCTTACAGCTATTTGAAAATTTTATCATTTGGCTATGTTTCAGGCATATTTCATAAAGATGTCAGGGTTTCTTGCTTGCTTTCTACATTTTTGTTTTCCACATAAGCTACAATTTATATACTTTGGTCACTCTTTAGGCTAGAGTGTCAGACCAGATTATAGAGGAATTCTAAGAGATTTGGGGATGAATGGATACATTCCCCACTGGAGAGGCGAGAGTGTGGAAATTTGTCTTCTGCAGTCTTCCACCAATATTCCCAAGTTGTTCCCCTGATTGTATTTAGACTGATATTTCTCAATTGACTAAAAATTGTAGTCAAAGCACTGAGAATGTGTACCTAGGTATCTCTAGTTCTCTTCAACTAATCACAGAGGACAAATAAGCATGTGTCTTCCTGGGAAAATTGGTGGCCCTTTTAACCACATGATGAAAAATGACATTGCAGGAATGCTGGACTCTGCCCTCAAAGACAGATGTGGCTTCCCTGACACCCTCCACCTGGATTAGGTGCTCACCACTGGGTTATTACACGCATTTACTCACAGGATTTGCCATGTTGGATTGTAATGACCTCTTTCTTGTTCAGTTTGCCTACTAGAAGCACGTAAGGCCAGGACTGTTTCATTTGTCACTGCATCCTGAGTGCCTTGGATGTAGGTTCTCTGAGTAAAGACTGAATCAATGAATATGCTTTCATTAGTGGCCATGTCCTAGGGCTAACCCCCTTGAAAATGTAGTTTCCAAACCTCACTGGTACAAATTCATTTCCTTTATGATGAGCTCAAACTCATAACCCTTAAGTATTTTTCCTTCAAGTAAATATCATGTGATTGCACATATAAGAAAGAATCTGAGGATCTGACTCATGCGAGATGTCTCAGGAGTTAAAAGGCCAATCTCCTGACCAGACTTACTAATATTGCTTTATGCCGAGACCAGCTCAGTCGGTCAGACCCTAACCCAGCGGTGCTAGAGGAATTAAAGACACACACACAGAAATATAGAGGTGTAGAGTGGGAAACCAGGGGTCTCACAGCCTTCAGAGCCCAGAGCCTCGAACAGAGATTTACCCGCATATTTACTGACAGCAAGCCAGTGATAAGCATTGTTTCTATAGATTATAGATTAACTAAAAGCATTCCTTATGGGAAACATAGGGATGGGCCGAAATAAAGGGATGGACTCTGGCTTCTTATCTGCAGCACGAGCATATCCTTAAGGCACAGATCGCCCATGTATTGTTTGTGGTTTAAGAATGCCTTTAAGCAGTTCCCCCGACCACCCGCCCTGGACGGGCCAGGTATTCCTTGCCCTCATTCCGGTAAACCCACAACCTTCCAGCGTGGGCATTGTGGCCATCAGGAACATGTCACAGTGCTGCAGAGATTTTGTTTATGGCCAGTTTGGGGGCCAGTTTTTGGCCAGATTTTGGGGGGGCCTGTTCCCAACAGCTTTACAAAGTAGTGAAAAGTCAAAGAGAGTTACTTCTTTTGCTCATACTTGGAGGCAATATAGTATACTGTGTCATGTGAGTTTTGACAATGAGTGGACTTGGGTACAAATTCTGACTGTTACTCTGCAACCTCTGTCAATGTATTAACCTCTTTCTCTCAGTTACAGTTTTTATATCTGTAAAATAGGGATAATAACACGACAGTATTATTACAACAGATTATTAGATGAAATAATGTATGTGCTTGTTGCATAATTGCTACATTGTTACTAACATCAACAGGACCAGCCTGGGAGATGAAGGTGAGAAGGGAGGCAAATGGAAAGCAAATGCCAAGCAGGGCACTCATTTGATCTGCAGGGAGTCTGAGGAACAGCCTGTACTCGTGAGCCTGCATTCCTAAATGAGGTCCTGTGTTTACACAATGAAGTTGAAAAATCACAAAGTCTGGAACTATGTGGAGCTATCTCGAAGTCCACCTGGGATCACACCCATCTCTCTGATGCTGCAGAGGGTCAAAGATGGATCCCAAGATAATGCTGGCAGGGCTGGGGTTAGGTAATTTTATGCTCGTTCCTCTGCTGAATCTTCCAAGAACATCATCACTTCATTTCAGGATGAGAAAATGCACTGATAATGTGTGATCCACCTTGAGGAGCCCCAGGCTTAACAGAAAAACATCCTACCCACTATTACCACAACATGAATGCTCTGTCCTTTGAATCTGAAGGGGCAAATGCTGTTCTTTGTCTTCTCTTATGTTAGAATCACCCAGTCATTTAAAAGTTGTTGTAGTGCCATTACAAACAGAATATGAGACATCCAACCTGTACAGACTTATCAAAAGCCCCATAGTCATGGTAGTATTCATGCGACCCACATTTTATAGGCGGGCTTAAGGATTCCCCTGCTGTTCCTTGCTAAAGACTTGGGAGTCCTGCGGCTGAAGCTAAGCTGCTCATTCCTCATTCATTCGCTGATCTGGCCACTCAGGTCACGAGGGCAACCTGTGTAATTGGGGAAAGGCAAACAGTGATTTCCAAAAACCTTCTTCAGTCTGGTCATATTTACATTTGAGTGTTTCATTTTAAACTGCAGAATAGGGACATAACCCCACGAGGTCTGGATAGCATGGAGCTCTTGTACAATGCTTTCTGGCCATGGAGTACAGACTCCTCGTCTGGCATTAACAGCGATTGCCCCACTGTGACTGGAGCAGGGTCCTCCTAACTGGAGGGTGAAGTACCAAACAAGGCCCCAGGAAGCCCACTTCAAGTGTGGAGAAGCAATAATCAAAATTATCCCTCAAATATGGAGGGATGATTAGACCATTGTTGTGTTAATCAGTAATTAGGGAGCAAGGACGGCGCATCCAGCTGCTCTCTGCATGTGGTGGAAATTAGGACGCTTCTCTTCTGAAGGAAGATGTCAAACTTAATTTACTGTAAGTACTTACACGGTTTTCCTTTTCAACAAGCAAGAATGAAGTGTAATTCAGAGTCAGTTGAGATGACTTCCATTACTGGGTCTCTTATTTCAATGCCTCTTTTGTGTCCAAGTTACAAGACCTGTCTCTAAGGTGTCTCCTGTGCTGACTGCACAGCACCTGCTCTGTTCTGATGTCTCTCCCCTCCTGTTTCACGCCTTCCTTTGCCATGATGGGTGGAAAATCACCATTCCCTTTCACAGGCAGGGGGAGACCCTACTGAATGGGTAGTTGGATTTTGAGAGAGATGTCAGTATGGTTAACCCTTGAACAATGTAGGGGCTGGGGTGCCAACCCCCCATGCAGCCAAAAATCCACCTAGAGTTTTTTGGTCCCCCTTAAATGTAACTAATGTAATTGCCTGATGGGTTTGTCCTACTTGCTGCACAGGCAAGATCAATTCACTGAGACTATGGCATTGCAATGAGGAAAGAGTATAATTGATGTGAGACCAGCCACACGAGAGACTCAAATCAGTCTCCCTGAAGGCTTGGAGGTTAGGGGATCTTCAAGCATACTTTGGTGGGCAGGAGACTAAGGAACAGGTGCTGTTGATTCATTGGGATGCACTCTTAGGGGTATGGAAAATGGTCCTTGTGCACTGTATTTGCTTCTGGATCACGGGGCCACAGGACCGGTTGGATCACGAGTCATAAGTCTGCCTTTGGGTGGGGGGTCAGTCAGTTGCCAGAATGCAAAAGCCTGAAAAATGCCCCAACATATCAATCTTAGGTTCTACAGTAGTCATGTTATCTGTGGGAGTAACTGGGGGAAGTTATACATCTCATGATGCACAGTACAATATGCCTGGTTATCGGTAAGTACACCTAGGTCTTAGCAGAATTCCAGCCCCTCTCATCCTAACCTTGTAGACTTTCATTAGTCTTACAAAGGTGGTTTAGTTTTGGGAAGGGCTATTATGAACGCTGCTTTAAGGTTAAATCATAAACTAAATTTCTCCCAAAGTTAGTTTGGCCTACTCCCAGGAATGACCAACGACAGCTTGGAGGTTAGACGCAAGATAGAGTCAATTATGTCAGATTTCTCTTCATAATTTTGCAAAAGTAGTTTCACTAATAGCCTACTGTTGACCAGAAGCCTTATCAATAACATAAACAGTTGATGGACACATATTATGTATATGTATTATATTATATACGATACTCATAATAAAGCTAGAGAAAAGAAAATGTTATTAAGAAATCATAAGGAAGAGGATATATGTTTCCTATTCATTACGTGGAAGTGGATCACCATAAAGGTTTTAATCTCTGTCATCTTCACATTGAGTATGAAGAGGAGGGGTTGGTCTTGCTGTCTCAGGGGTGGCAGAGGTGTATATACCTGTGTATAAGTGGACCCATGTGGTTGAAACCCGTACTGTTCAAGGGTCAACCGTATGTTGATATTCCTATTTCTGAAAGTGAAAGAAGAGATTAAGAAAGAGGTAGGAGACTAAGTTGCTAAAGAAAGAAAAAGAGCTAAAATTTAAA